GGGTAGGTGGAGGAGATGAGGTCAGTGGCTTAAAAAAAAGGATTGGGGGTGGGGAAGGGGTAGGGGAGGAGGATGGAGGGTTGGTGGTGGGAGGGTTAGGGGCGGGGAAGGGGTTGGTGGTGGGTGGAGTGGGGGTACGGTGAGAAGGGGGGCAGGGATGGGGAAGGGGTAGGGGAGGGGGATGGAGTGGAATGGTTGGGAAAGGGAGGGGGGGCGGGAAGGGGTTGGTGGTGGCAGGTTAGGGGCAGAAGGCAAGGCCAAGTGGAGAGGTGGAGTGGAATGGTTGGGAAGGGGAAGGGGGAAAAGGTTGCGGTGAGGGCAGGGAGGGTCTTCACTGACGCCGCCCCGCTGTTGCTGGGGTCGGCGGATACTGTGTGAGCTGCGCCTTTCTGGGTGCAGCTGTCAGACATGATCTGCTCAGATCTATCTGGCTGTCTTTGTGCTGGCCATCTACGACATCTATCTTATGCAGCCGCCCATGGTGAACTACCGCTGCCGCGAAGGACCCGCAGGGGTTCCGGCATTCAGGGTCCTAAAAGCTGTTTACTGCACGTGGATAGCAGCGGCCAGAGCGGCCCAGCAGGATCGGCAGGAGTGTGTGGGATGATCGCACTTGCTGAATTGAAAACAAACCCCTCTCGACAGCTGGAGCTACACGGAATGAGGAGCCGTGCGTCCATTGACTTCCGGCCACGCCGGCAGAATACGGGGAAATTGAGGGCGTGTTTACGGCGTCCTGCAGGATTGATGTGCTTCTACATGGGCTAGAGATTGAGTCTTTTCGGGAAACGAGCATCATCAGCTAGGCAGTAAAAGGGCAAATTACAGCTCTCAAACAGAAACAGCCAATGGAATGTCGCACATGGGCTGCGCATGAAATGCGGAACTCAAAGGGTAGCATCGCGCAAGCGCGTCATCACGTTTCTCTCAGTCAAGGTTTCTTTTGGTCAAGAGCGGGTGCAAAGGTCGACATGGCTCTTGACGTCCAAACTGTCTCAGATGGTGTTCGCTGCATGTCAAAACCAAGTTGTGGAAGTGTTGCATCGCATACGTTGTCCATTGTGAGGGCCTCATGCTCCACATGTGGTCCACAGCCACCATGTAGTACGTCCGGCCTTATGTCCGGCACCATCCGGCACCCATCCAAGCCTGTAGGACAAGTGCTACAGCACACGCATGTCAGGTGAAGTGCATTCCATGGACTTCGAGGATATTCGCACGCCCAGTTCAGTTTGGACCTGGTGGGGAGCCTGGGGGTCGCTGGCACATGCTGGCACGTGAAGACAGAAATCTCAGAATGCGTAGCATCAGGTTGGCAGACTCCGTGGCAGCCGGATGCCCAGCCGATCGCATGTTCGGGTCATGCTGCGTTTAAAGGGCCGTGTCTTTTTCTGGTTTTCAGGGTTTGTGGTTATAGATTCTGCCGTTTGCCCGTGGGCCAGCGCACGGACTAAAGCTTTTTGGACAGTTTTGGTTTTAGTCAGGCACTAGCCACTTCCTGTCACCAACTATCCAGGCATAGTTGATAAATCATGGGTTGTCAGCTCCTTTTAGGATAAGTTGTCTGTGAAATTAGCGGTCGAAGAAGTCTAGAATGACCCCCTGTTGAAGACCCTTACACTTCGAGTCGCATATGATGTCGCTTGGAAAGAGACCGGCTTTCAGTCGAGAGATCGCGAATTTGTGTTTGCAGGAGGAGCTTTTCACGCCCGCGTCGCTGCTACGTGGCGGAAACTATGCTGTCGGCTACCTACAGGCGCATCCGCAAGTGGGTGTACAAACATGCAACACATGGAGTCGGCCGCCCAGCAGTCATGGGCCTATGCAGCCATCATTTTGGCTTCAGTCGACTTGATATTTTGGATCAGACGCATGGACCCCTTGAACAGTTCTCCCACCAAGCATCCACAACCACAAAATGCCACGGACAGCCTTGCCTTGCCCTCCTGATCCCTGCGAGTAGTGAAGTTCCGGAGGTTCTCGTCCAGAACGTGCAGGCACCAACAGCGGCTCAGTGCCCGCAACAGGCGAGGATCACTTCTGCCCTCACAGCCCCTATGCTCCGATTCGTTGCCCTGCACGGTGCCTGGTGAACAATGAAGGCATGAAGAACATTGTAGATGGTTTGCATAGGATCTGATGAGTCTGCCATTTCTGCAAGAGCAGGCATGCGTATGCAAAAACCCCTTCCCTCCGCCTTAGGTCCTGCTTGGTCACTGCTTGACAGTCATACTCAGACCCGTAAGGACGTGCCCCTAAGAGGTTCCCTGAAGAAACTCTGAATATGGCCCCCTTAGATCTTGAAAAAGGGTCCCCAGACCCAATGGTACAACCTTAGGGGTCCGAGGCAGAATCCCATGATTGTTCTGGCACTTATTGCAGGACTCATCTTTTACGCTGCCTCCGAACATCTCCTGCTCGGAACTTGGATACCAAATGGCCTCACAAGCTCTGGCTACGCCGGTCTATACAGTGCCCATAATGCCCCACATTGTTAGGGACTCAGGCCAAGGCCAAGGCCTCTTGGGCTTGTCTGGAGGGCTGCGAACAAGTCGGAGCTATTTTGCAAACGTCATGTTGGGTCGAAGGCTATGCCATGGAGTACACGGATACAACGGCCATGGCCTCATGTGGGAGGAGCCGTAGGTGCTGAGTGATGTACCCCCATCCCCAGACTGGCGTAGGGGCCTTGCAAAGAATTGCACCTACCTGGGATGGAAAGCCCCCAAGAATCTTGAGGCCCCCCAAAAGTCACTCCTTCCTCCCCCGTCCTCCCAAGCGGCTGCGCGGCTGTGCGGATGAGGCCGCGACCGGCACTCTTGCAGACATCCGAGATTACTTCCACGGTAAGATCGGCGTGGACCGAAGGGATATGCAATGATATACACACATTGTGAGATGCCGCGCCACATCGCGCCACCCAAGCAGAAGTGTCGGCAGAAGTGCACAGAACGAACTGCAGTCAATCTGGTTGTGATATGTCTTGCTCCCGTGGGCCCACGGCTCCGATTGTTTTGCCTCTCTGCTTTGATGTCCCTGTGGAGGACGGCCGGTACTACCGAATCAGCCCATGGGAGTGGGGGGCAGCGCGCATGGCCTCGCCAAGAGGCACCTCGGGAAGGGTCATGCAAACCAGCCGATCTTGCTTATCGCAGCCGACCATAGCTTCAGCCTTAAGCATCTTAAGCCTTAAGAGAGCAGTCGCTACGGGTGAAGCGCAACAGCAAAACTCGTGCGGACTGGCAGCAAGCATCTCTCTTTGTGCTGTAAAGCCCCTCTTTGCGTGTCCCCGATCCAGTAAGATGCACTTCAGGAGAAGCTTCAACGCAGATGAGTTTCTTCGGTGTGGATGGTTCGGGCTACAGCTGGGACCTTAGTGCTGGATTGGGAGGGGGAGGCAGGAGGAGGGCCAGGGGGAGGAGGAGGGGGGGAGCTGAAGCCACCCATGTCTGTTTGAGTTTGTGACCGAGGTGCCGAGTACAACTTGCAGTACCCGTGTGCCGCCAAGAGGGGTTCTGAGCAGTCTGAGCTGTCCGGCATCTTGCAACCCGCTTGGTGCGCAATCCCTCGGACTGAGTCTGAGTGGATCAGCCTTGCAGATGATGGCCCACAAGATGGAAAGAATACTGAACTAAACTGATTAAACCTAAGCCCATGTGCATGAGGTGCAAAAAAGGCTGTTGACATGTGATCCATTCATTCAACGAGCAGCAGTTGCACTGTTGAGCATGGTAGCCCTAATTCTCGGTTAGGTTTCTTTGTGGAGGTTTCGTAGCTGGAACAGGCTGGACAGGGCTCAATTCCTGAAGGTGTAGTGATGCTAGCACACAGCTGTTGCCAGACATTGTGCACAATCGAAGCACCTCCAACAGTCCGCGTATTTCGAGAGAATGAACGTCTCTTCAGCAAAGGTCACTGGACCTCGTCCGGCAGGCTTTTCTAGAGGATGTCGCGTTCTTCTCTCAAACAAACTGGCCGGGACCATAGATTTGGTGGCACGCGGATCCGAAGCTCACTGTCTCACAGACCTACAAAGGCTGGACGCGCAAACGCGTGCAGTTCACATCCAGTTCATGCTCTACAACCCCAACTACGACTTGTGGGTTCCAAGCAGGCACGGGCAAATTTAGGTTTGCGTTGACCCAAGTGTAGAAGGCTTGAAGTTGCCTGCGTGGGAAGGTACTCCTTCGAGATGACGAGCTTCGGCACAGTCACACCTAGGGTAGACGTCTCTACCTTCAGGCCTCTTGGATGATTTTCGCTTGAGATGCACCTGGCTAAAGTATGCCCTTGCATGTGCTGCATGGTCAAGCCACGTCAGCATGCCTTGGCAGCAAGATTGCCGAGAAATACAGACAATGGCCTCCTTCCTTTCGCCTTTCTGCCCAACTCCGGACATAGACTTGCTAGATGCTAGCCCCTTGGAAGCACCCAAATTTCTGAACTTTCACCTGATACGCAAACTCCTGAAGGCCCGGTACGATCGAGTACACAATCGGCTTTGGACAACTACTGGCGGACATTTTTAGGCCAGAGAGTGTCTTGTGCAATCTTGCGCAGCAGGGCTGGGGTGGCATCAACTTCAGGGTTTTGCAGAGGGCCTGCACTTGCCTGCGCTGGCCAGACAGCACATGCTTCCTGTTGTGGGGTGTGTCAGAACACTGATAGTTAAGTCATGCTTGTCAAAGGCAAGCGCTGCAGGCACCTCGATCCGAACAAGTCAAAACTAACCCCGGCATTGTTTTGGCTACTCTCCTTGCTTGCCAGGGGGGTTTTTGTGCTCTACATCTGCATCTACCAGGCTGGCCATCACCTGCTGTCCTTCAGTATCTTCAGTTTTCTTCAGCTGAGACCTTGCACTGAGCACCTGCGGCTAATCTCAAGTAGAGCGCCATGCCGAAGTTGGCATTGATCCACGTCCATGTACAACACACGATGGGACAAGCTTATAGTCAAACAGGCAAACCGTTTGTCAACTGCTGCAGGTCTACTGGGACTTCATGTACGAGCGGCGGATCAACGGTTCCGGCTGGAAGCACTTCCTGACTATCCAGGCAGCCCATGCATTGGCCACAGCGGCACTTTAGCATGGTGTGGCGCGGTGGGAGTTGTGTCCCCTCAAATTTACATCGGGTTGCAAGTGATGCGAGGGTCGTGTGCGGATTTAGAGACACTAAGTAGCTCGCAGCTGGCAGTACCACTCATGGACCCTTCTTCGTATTTGAACGTGGATGTGGTTTAGGGCATCTCCGTCGGAACCCTGGCTCAGGGCGCAGTGGACCTGAGCATCGGAGCTGTGTTCTTCGCAATGTTTGGCTTGCGCTGCTTGCCTTGCCAGTGGCTGTGCAAGCGGCTGTTGCAGATTCGGGCCAGATTGTTCAGTTGTTTGTCTCTTCTTTTTGTTGGGGGGGAGGGGGGCTGGCTTTTTTGTGCTTCATACTTTAGATTTCAGAACCCGTTGAACACCCAAAGCGACAGCCCAGGCTACACAGCCTTCAACGCCGCCGACCCATTGGGGATCAAATGCCTTGGGAGAGAGAAGCATGTTTCGCCAGTTTAAGCCTTGGTCTTGCCAGGATTCAGCTTTGTCCCGGTACCATGTTGCCCACAGTACTTTGAGCTACTAGTCCTGGCATGTCTTTGCAACCTTCACCGGCCACAAGCTCCTGACTCTTGCTTCTTTCAGCAGAGGTCTCTTGAGTGTTGCTTCATTCTTATTGCCAGTCTTGTCGAGAGGCTGGATCGGTCAGCTATTTGTCCCAGCACTTCAATGACGTCCTCGACGTGCCTTCCTCAGCAAACGTGCCCGTAGGCTTACCAGACCGCCGGATTTCCAGTGAAACTGGTGAAATAGCTGGTTCAATAGCCAGACGATGCGTGCGAGGTCCCATGTCACTTTTGCCATTTGCATTTTTCATGAACTATGATACTGGGCACCAGCGTTGCTTCCCCTCAGCATTGGTGAGGCCACAGGGCTGTCGCATGTCTACAACGAGCACCTGGCTCTGAATGCAGCGCTCGCAGCCAGATTCCCAAGCGCAGGGCACTTTTCACGCGCTGGATGCCTGAACTTTCCTACCCCCCCCCCAGGGCTGGGGCCATTTCAGAAGGGATGTCAACGCCTGGAATCGCAAAACCCAGGGCAGAAACCTTCGAAATTTCCAAGAAAATAGCGCATCTGTGAGATGAAAGGCTTTGGTTCTCTACCGTGTCGTTTACTTCCTCACCGTAAATCGCCATGCCGCAGCCTCAGGGGCTAAAGCCTGAAAGTGCTTGACGTTGTTTTAAAGTCTTAAAGCTCTGACTCCAGTTGTGGCCGCCTTGTCCTTGTCGTTCCCGCATGTCAGGTCTTCATCATCTGGACCTCTGTGAAGCGGGCGGCCATGGTCGCTGTCAGGCTTCTTTGTTTCCGGGTTCGTTGCATGTTCCACGTGGGCCCCAACCTCCTTGTGCCATTGGAGATGTAACACTGATTTCTTTAAAGGCCTCTCGCAGCATTTGTTCTTGACTTCTTGAGGCTTGCTGTGGTCGTCGGACCCATCTTGGCCGGCCTGACGGTGCTGAGCATGGGCGTTTCCTATTCCGTCGACCAGTATACCAGGACCTGGCGATGCGTGGGTGGAATGACAGCGCAGTGGCCTAATAACAGGTTCCTCTATAAGGCCCTGACAAGGAAAGATCACAGACAGGTGTGAGCAAGACCTCGCACGCACTCGACTCGACCCTAAGATTCCTGGAAGCAGTGTTCAGGTTGATGGGTAGTGGTTTTGTGCCAGGACCTTCGGATCTGCCCTGACGCGGAATTTGCTCATGATTTTCGGGGATGACGAGACCATTAAGGCCTGGGCGGAGCAAAGGAGTGATGTAGTACTGATGTAGTACTGTGGTCGCATGGGCAAACTGTACGATCAACAAGCCCATGTCTTGGCTAGACCCACCACTTCCGAAATCATAGTCTTTATTTTAGACGGAGCTGCAGTGATCTGCGTGGGTTGAGAGGGGCAGCAAGCGCTTCTGCGAGACGGCCAACTAGCGATACTCCAGCAGGTACCCTCTACGCACCCTCAACTGTCATGAGTCAAGATGCGCCTGTCCCGTTGGTTTCCCCGACCCATACTTGAGCTGCAGTTTTTGGGCGTATTCACCAAGCAGTTGCGGAACCAATAGCGGCACCGTCAACAGCAGCAGGAGCTGCAGCAGCGAGCCTGACATGAAGTTTGCGGTAGTATAGTTGAGTGTGTATGGGTTGCTGTTGAAGTTCCATGGGTATACCCCAAGCATCTAGAACGCAAACCTGTGCCTCATTCGAAGTAGACTCCGTAATGCTTTGGAAGAGTTATGCAACTAACTGACAGTGCACCCTCAAGTTTATAGCAATGGTTTGCATAGGTTTTGCTTGTCGTCATTCATCCTGGGTTTCCCGAAAAGGTGTTTGTCTTTCGTTAGATGTGGTGGCCTTTTGAGACTCTGCTTGAGTACGCGGAACCAGATGGAACCGGAGCTCTTTGCACTATCCCAGATTTGCACTGCAGGCTTATGACTCCAATCGAGGTTGGCAGCCGAATCCTAAGCTTTCCGTGTCCAACAACCTCAAAGGCTTTTCATCGCTTTCTCTCAGCTGCTTTGCTTGATCCCATGCGCAAGGGAGCATCCAGATCATGTTTAGACCTTCTTGACCATCGAAGCAAATCTCCATGGCCCCAGCTAGACGTGTTAGGTGCCCTGAAGCAAAAAGGCGTGCATCATGCATTGGACGTCTTGGTCCTAAAACACCTGTACTGGGACAACAGTGGTCGGGTAGCTCTTGACACTGACCCTGTGCATGCAAGCTCCCGCGAGGCTGAGCTTCAATGTTGTCCTCTATTACGCGACCAGGCACGACGTGAGCTCGGGATACATGAGAAATTTAGCGCTACGAAATTAGTACACTAAATGCAGTTTCCCTAGCGAGCACATCCATGTCTCCTTAGAACTCAGCGAAGCATTTCACATCCACAAGTTCCCTCACAAGGTGGCACAAGGATTCGCCTCCCCACCCGCAGGCTGATTTTCGTGAACAGCTGGTTTGCAATACTCATCCATGAGCCCGGAGCCAAGCAGTGTTTGTTTTGTGTACAGTGTTGTTTCACACTTTGGCTCCGTTCGGCTTGCCGAACCATCCCATGCATGAGGCTGCTGCATGTGATTCTGCTCAGAAATACCAGTTAGCGGGCATTGCTGGAGCCACGCTCTTCGGCAACCTTCCCATCCAATGCATTCGGCAGCATTCGGCAATAGCCGCGTCTGGGTGCTTATTCCTCATTTGTTATCCGTTTTGGCATTGGGTGGAGTTTTTCTGGGTGTGTGAAAGTGTCTATGTATTGCAGTCTTTAGCCAGGGTCTGGAGCAATGCTTTTTGTTTGTCGCCGAGTAATGAAGATGGTTCTGCCCATGACATCACTGGGCGTAGGTACCAGAAGACCCGTGTGGCTGCTGGCTATTCCACAAAGAAATACCGGTGGAAGGACGACAGTCGGGATGAAGGGCTGAAGTTTTTGGGTTTGCTTTCCGAATGCTCCTGGTCTTAAATTCTGGGATGGGGTGAAGCTTGAGTACTGAGCACCCGGAACCCTCTCCACCCCCCCCAACCCCCCCCCCCCCCCCCCCCCAGCCCTCCACCCGTGAAAGGGTTTAGCCGTGCGAAGGTTTATGTCGATTTGGTTATGTCGCTGAAGCTGAAGTTGGGCTCAGTGCCGGCGATGAGTATTGGACAGGGGTGGAAGCTGAGCGCTGCAGATGCATGTGGGGAGGGGGGGGGGGGTGGATGAGAACTTCGTGCTCCTGCCGCCGATATTCTGGGGAAGCTTGAGCGCCCACTTCGCAATGGCAAGCGGCAAGTGACTGTCAATTTGCACAGGACATGTTTGCGGTGATTCATCGCCTTTGCATCATGAATGTTACAAAACGCCCCCTGACACCTGGAGGAGTACGATTATGTTGGCGCCGTGCTCAGCTTATGCCAAAATATCCTTGGTTTCTATTCAGATTCATGTTGTTTCTGGGTCCGCCGGCCTGCTTGTGCCTTCTTGTGCCTTCACGTCAGCAAGTCGGAATTGCCTTGCCGTCGCTTGCGCACCCGAAAGAACCCACAAGTGCGACAGGGATAAACCATATACTTTGAACTCTTACCCAAAGTGTGAAGCAGCCATCCAGTTTGGTGCCTTCCGTGGCCGCCCTCGGCACGTTTGGAATACTGCAGTCGGGGTTAGAGTGGTCTAAGCTATCGTCGAAGAGTTTAACTTCCAGTGGGCAGGGTCGATGCCTGCAGGAAAGTCGTTGATGGTGGGGTCTGGTACACGGGGAGGTCTCTGTGCATCAGTGTTATGTCCCATCCAGAGAGAAGTTCAAGTTCTTGCGCTTGCTGTAGCATCCATCAGAAAAAAACGAGGCACACTGTGTTGCAAGTTTCGTGAACGTCATGTCATGTGCCAGGCCTTTCAAGAACCTGTACCTGAACTTTCTGAGACCGCGAATTGAGAAGCACTGGGCTTAGTGGATGTGGATGCAACGCTCTGGACTGTTGAAACGCTTTCTGGGGCATGACGCGTTCGCCAAGAGTCAAAAAACTAGTGAGTCCTAGGGTGCAAGACTCCAAGACTGCGATGTGATATTATTACAGATGAGAGCTGTTGACAAGCGCACCTTTTGGACGTGGAGAGCTGACAGTTCGTTGGCTTACGCATATTGTGGTTCGAATTGTCCGATTTCTAATCTTCAACCTCTATTGTCTATTGCTCATCCTCGCAATCATAGACCAACCCGACAGGGGCGAAGCCTTAGATGGAGCGGTTGGAGGTGTTGGATTGTCGGTTATTGCTGCCTTGCCTCGAGGTGCCGTTCGGCACTGTGTGTTGAACCTTATGCTCAGTCCCAGGGGTGGCCATGGGCCATCGAACGGTCCATGTCTTCACCCATAAGTGCATCCCCCTGGCTGCGTACGGTGGACAGCCCTCACAGCTGAGGCCGGCGGACTTGCACTCGCCGCACGACGATTGAAGGCACCAGGGGAGGCGGTTTGACCTTGACTCAGTACTCGGCATGACCTGCACCCTCCGTTATCCACCACCAGCCGTCAAAATTTAGAATCCCATGCCTGAAATCCAACAGCCTTTCAGCACTTCCCAAGCATCACGCTGGCAGTGCAAGATTCGCGCTCCCCACCTCCTGCTCTTAGAGGGGTGCAGCTCTTGGTTCACAGTTGACCACGAGCAGCTGAAGGTTGAAGGCTGAGGTCGGCGAAGTTAGGGAAGGTTCTCCACCAATCTAGAATTTCTTGGGCCGCAGACGACTTCGGTGCCTTGGGCAGTGGCTATATTAAGTTTGGTTCCAATGGGTTCTAAGTTAATTGAACTTTATGCAGATGCTCTTGTATGGTCCAACATAAAATCAACGTCGATAAAGTGGACTTCGGAAAGATATCTGTTCCTCGGTGAATAAGTTTGCACGGAGTACTGAATCTTCAATGATTTAAGCTTAGTTTGTTCGTCCCCTGCTCGGCTGGCTTGGCCCTGCTCAGACTTCCCTTGCAGGAGGCCGGCGTACGACTGGCTGCCTCAGGAGCACGCGCGAGCGCGCTGAGCCTTTGATCCTATCCCACCCTTCCATGATACCCTTGCGCCCACCTTCCCCTTTTAAGCGACCGCAGGGGCTCAGGATCGGGACCAAGTGCGAGAGCCGCATTGGGCTGACATGTGCTGACCCAGACCCACTTCTAAGGGGTCTAGGACCGTCTAGGATCCATAGGGTTGGAGCTATCAGAAGGCGCTCGGGTCCCGCCTTTGCGGCTTCATACCGGTTCGTTCACACGCTCAGAGCCTTTGGTGAAATTGCCAGGCTTGCATGCACTTCGAGGGTGTGAGTGGTCTTTCGATGTCTTTCGCTTCATTTCCTTTAAAGCAGTCTCCTGTCCATTCTGCTGTGCTGACTTTGACTCTGTTGGAGTCGACATCTTCAAGTCATCCGTGGTATCATTACGGTATCATTCTGAAGTACAATGAACATCTCCAAACATTGGACCCGACATGCGAGACCACTTCAACAGCACCCCCAATAGTCGATCGAACGCTCACCGAGAGCAGCCTGAAAGATCTACGCCGATCCTGCAGGATCAGGATGGATAGAAGGAGCATAAAAGGGCATAAAAGCGAGGCTACCTTGGATCTGGAATGGATCTAGACCTTTGGAGGAGAACTGTCGATTGAAGTACTCGTGCTGTCGGTGGGCCGACGAGGGTTTCGGCCAAAGTTGGCGTCTGTTCCGAGATCCGAAAGTGATCGCCGGCGTCCTCGGGTTGCAAAAAGGTTGTTTCAGTTCAGCTTACGAGTGCCTGCACAATCTCCAACCCATCTTTCTACTAACTTGCACTGAGCAGTACCCCTGCAACTTTCTGACTTGTGACCACTTTCAGGGTTTCATCTACAGGACCTGCGAGTGCGAAACCCGAGACTGGAAGGTGAGCAGGCGAACAGGATCCCCAAATTCAAGCCAGGCTCCGACCCCCCTCGAGAATCCCATCTTCTGACGTCTTGGTCCTCGCGTTTGGAGCTTCGGTTCGAGCACTAAGGATGCTCTCCAGATGGCACGGTAGTAGCATGAGGGCATCGCAGCTTTGTAACAGTATACAAGTGGGAAGCTCGATTTCTAGAGTTCAGTGCCGGCTGACCTTTCGTCGTCTGGCCGGCAACTGTCAAGAAGCACAACTTTTTCGCTCAGCCGCCATGGCTGGTGACGATCAGGCTTCTCAGTTTTTCGAGCATGTTGCATCGCTCTCAGAGGACGGTGCATCTGGGATCTTGACTCACGCTGAGCAGTGAACGCCTCGACTTCGTAGCGTGTGGCAGGCATACCTTCGAGTACCTATGGCAATCCCCAATCCAATGCGTCCAACATTCTTTGTGTAGTGACTTCGTGCAGAGTTGGACATGTGGCTAGGCCACAACCAAAGCAATAGCAAGCAGAACAATGGGCTGGAAAGTTCAATCTGAATGCCAGCGTCAAACTGAGACGAAGGGTGGTCATGGGGCTACTGTGCAGCGTCCACTTGCGAGGAGTACTCCCGCCTGCGTTCCGAGAACCAGAGCTTGCAGCGCGCCTTAGCACAGCTTGCCGGCAACGAAGTGCCATTGCGGCCATACGACCCTTGGAAAGAATGGACGCCATGCCTGGGAATAAGAAATAAATGACAGCTAGACTTTGACTAAGCTCTCCCTCGCTCTCTATCTGTCTCTGTCTTTCGCCATTTTGGCCATACTTGGAGAGTGTTTGGATTGTGGAGTCTGATTCCTTCGTGAAAACTCGGAGACAAAGCAGCAGAGATCATGATTACCAACAGTTTATGTTCAACACAGAAGCTGAGTAGCAGTAACATGAGCGAATCAAGTCTTTGGGACTTTGGGCACTATGAAAGTAATATTCGTACATGTCTAGCTTTAGTCATTTAGACAGACCTGGAGCGCGTGAAGCAGCAAAACCCGGCCTTTTGCGGGACACCCAACAATCTTAGGCCAAGGATGTGGAGACGTCAGCACTCAGCCCTGTGCTAGTCGCTGAGGCAGGCCGAGTCTGATATTGGAGTAAGTTGGAACACGTTGTAAAGTGCTGAAAGTTTTTGCTTGCGAACCCTAACCCGGGGCCTCGGCGGATTCGAATCTTCCCGAAGTTCAAATCGAGCATGTGCTTTTTGGTACAGGTTAGGGTGCCTGGACAGGTGTTCCATGGCACCGAAGACAACCGCGGCAACGAACCAGCAGAGGACTGCTCTGGTTTTAGTGCTTGTGCATGTCTCGACTCCTGCTAGGATCTGCCTAAGCCAGTTATAGTTTTGCAATAGGCAGTACTGTAGTAATCGACAGACATAATGTTCGTCCCAGTGAGTTTTCACCTAAAACATCAAGGCAAGTCCGACATCTGGAACAGCTTCGTGAGTAGAATGTCCGTGGTTCTACAATAAGGTGGTTGGGAGTAGCCGTTAGCATGACCAAAGACTTGTCTGGCCGCCTTGCACTGCAGGCTGCAGGCTTTCCTGTGGAGTAGAGTCTAGATAGACCTTTTGGCACATTGCCAATGACTACTGGCGTCCCTGCAACATTCTGCAAGTGGGTAGGTTTTTAAAATAGATCCTGTTCGGGGTCCTACATATAGTACGGCAAGACCCGAAAAGGGCCGAACTGTCCAAGTCTTAAAGCTCCATGACCAGGCTCCTATTCTTGTTACCTATCAAGGCAACCTTATTGAATCAGGTGGAGCAGATCATAACCGAGACCGAGACTATTTCAGACCGTGCTCGTGGCTTTGGCAGCAGGTCGATGGGAAACACAGTTGTGTGCCGACCCGCGAATTTCGCAGGACTACAAGGTGGCAATAAATCAAGGGGATCCGAAAGGCAACGGTCACCCTCGACCATACAACGAGCCGAGGTTTTCAGCAGACCAACACGCTCAGCGTCGACACCAAGGCCGCATGCTGAAGCGATGTGCAATCCATCACCTTGCTGCTCTCTGACAGATGCACGAAGCCTTTCTAATGCATGATGTTTGACGTTCGAGCGGTGGGCTTCATGGCACAGGCACCCTTGCTGCTCGACGATTGGGTGTTCCATGCTAAGCCCCATGCCCCAAACTTCCAAACTTCCAGGCTGCTTCCAAAGTAGACTGGGACATCCCGGATGCGAACATGGGCCCTCTTGGCAGCACAAAGCCGTGGCAGGGAGCGTTGTGGCATGGATGGTTGTCCATTAGTTTGCCGTGTAGCTTCCACCTTCCGCCCTACTCAGTGCGGCATGTGCGGCATAGTCTGAGTGTGCTGAACTCACAGAGATGCTGCAGAGCGTTCTTCAGCGGCCGTTGGACCAATGTGTGTTTGCCCTTCCGAAGTGGAGAGGCCGTCACGCGATCTTCAGCCAGGGCCAGCGTCTGAAGGCTGCGATCGCCGAAGACATGGTGGCCGACATGCGCTACGCACTCTGGATGGACTTAGCAACATGTAGCAAATCATGTCCCGTCACTGAATCTTGTGGAGTGCCTCAACGACGTGGCCTGCCATTTGTGTAATCCTCAAGCTCGGCCCAGTGGTAGCTGATGGTTTGACCCTTAGCAAATTGAGCTCCTGACTCGATTGTCTTTTGGGTCAGGAAGGGATGGACATAGCCCTTCGCCCTAGGGGTATATGTAGCTTCTGTTGGGGTCCTCTTCCGGTTTAGCAGCCGACGCAGCAGCACTGCGTTGTCTTGCCCAGGACGTGAAGAGCATGTACAAGACAACTGGCTCCTTGGCTGCACGCAAAGTAGCCATCCTTTAATGATGCGCAAAGGAATATATATATATATATATATATATATATATATATATGCTACCCCCCCCCCCCTCATGTACCCAGGCTTTGTGCTTGAAATTCTGGAAATGTCCGGAAAATCTGGGTTTTAGGGCTTAGCGTAAAGGAATTCGGGAATAGGATTTATTTTTAGAATTTAGGGGCTCTCCTCTAAAGGAATTAAGGAACTTTAGGATTTAGGGGCTCTCCTCTATAGGAATTAAGGAACCCCCCTCTTCAGGGATATGGGATCACAATTTGGGGAATGAAATTAAGGAAATAAGGTTTAGGGAGTAAGATTTGGGGATCAGGCTCTTTAGGGTTTAGCACAGAGGACTTGGGAAATAAGATTGGTTTGTAAAATGCAAGGGCTCTCCTCAATAGGACGCATTTTTTCCCAAAGCCCTATTCCCTAAGCCCCAAAGAGGCGTCCGTCCTTAAACCCTAAACTTAAGCCTAACTCCGAAAGCAAAAATGACTTTTATTGCCTCATCCTTTTCTTCAAATCTTAAAGAGCGGGATCCCTTAATCTTATTCCCTTATATTTTACTCTCAAATCCTATTCCCGAACCCCGAAGAGGGATTCCTTACGTCCGAAAAACAGGTCCTATTCCCTAAATCCTTCTCGCTAACCCCTAAAGGGTGGGATCCCGACATCTTCTTCCCAACCTTATTCCCAGAATATGTTTCCCAAAGTCCTGTTCTCTAGGCCCCAAGAGGGGTCCGTAAAGTAAAGAGGAGAGTCCATAGGAGAGCCCCAAATCCTAAGGATGCACGTCTGCAAGCCTAAACCCTAAACTCTAAACCCTCTAAACCCTAAACTTCAGCCTGAATCCGAAACCCTGAGCCCTACATCGTGGGACTGCGTGTGGGTTAGGGCCTAAACTTAAGCCTAAATCCTGAAGAGCGGGACGCCTAACTCCTGTTCCCGAAATCTTCTTTTCTTAATACCCTTCAAATCCTAAAGCGCTAAGCCCATAAGGGTGGGATCCCTTTCCCGAAAGCTACTTAATGCAGCAAGATGACACCGATTCAAAACAAGATGGAACGCATTCAAATGCATTCAAAATGCATTCAACTTGAATGCGCTCTTGGATTCAAGATTCAAGGTTCAAGGTGCCCGGGAGAACTTGCCCAGGCATCTTGAATCTTGAATCTTGAATCCAAGAGTGCATTCAAGTTGAATGCGTTTTGAATGCATTTGAATGCGTTTCATCTTGCTTCATCTTGTTCGGGAGCGAAACTTACGTGCGTATGTATACTAAAAAAAGTATATTTCGGGCTCGACGTTTGGGGCACTCACCCGATCCCAATAACCCACGCGTTTCTGCAGAAGCTGAGATTCTGGAAAAAGGCGTGGGTACATGGGGGGGAGGGGGTACCATATCTATGTATGTATATATATATATATACATATAATATATGTAATCAGAAAGCTCGTTGGCAACAAAGCTTAAAAGCAAACATAGGCATACCGTACCTTATTTGTTTGGCTGAGGTTTTATGATTTTGGTCATTGTTCGTTCCAATTACCTTATTATCACGAGCTTTATGATTGAAGATTGAAGGCCGCGGCGTGCGGTGGTTTTTTGCAGGCCTTTCTAGCCCTGCTTCCTGGAAAATCACAAACAAGGATGCTGGCAGCACGTCGCTCGGCACGCATGGTTTGAAAACTTCACGATGCTGATCATCGTCATCTATGCCATTTACATGTCCTTCGACACGGATTTGAACCAAGCAGACCTGATCACAGAGACTGCGCCCGTCTTCATTGTTTGCGAGCAGTTCTTCTGTTTTTACTTCACCGCTGAGCTCGTCATCCGCTTCATGGCGTTCGAGAGGAAGTGCAACTGCTTTAGGGATGCCTGGTTTGTCTTCGACTTTGCATTGGTCTTCATGATGGTCGCCGAGACATGGGCGCCTTACGTTGCATTGTTTTCCTGAATCCCTTTCTCGAACCTCGCCCCCATTCCCCACGTGCCCCACATGCCCCCCATGTCCCCATTCCCTCAGGTGATGAACATCGTCATCCTGGCCATGGCTGGCTCAAGTTCGGGCCCGAACTTCCTCGGCGACGCCTCCATTTTGCGCTCCTGGGACAGCCCTTCAGAAGTTGTGTTTCGGTCTACAGCCAGGTACAGCCCATTCAGGCTGCCTACGGGTTCAAGCTAAGTGACCCTTCTAGCTGTACACGGTTTCTGAGTAGGTCAGGTTATGAACCTTCAGCAGATACAGTATGGACCCGAGCAACTGGATTGGCTACATGCAGCTAGCTAGACGGGGCAAATGTCTGAATGCGCGCCATGCAGCACCCTTACCACCTGTCGGGTAAGAGTTTCTTGCAAGCCAGATAGGTTCGGTACACAAGCGGAGACTTGCAAAGGAATCGCGCGGCTGCTGCGGCTGACCCGCTTGTTGAGGATGGCGCGGCTCATCCGGTGACCTGGACGATCTTCAAGTCGGACATGACATGACATGAATTTGTTTTGCGACGCTCGCCTTGAGCTTGAGCTCAGGTTTTTCCCCGAGCTGCTGATCATGGTGAAGGCAATCTGGAGCGCCGCACGATCCGTGGGTTTCACCCTCGTCCTGCTGGGGATCTGCTTGTATGTGCCCTGACGCGCACAGAGAAGTCTGAGTTCAACTTCTGTTCTTATGGGTTGCTTCTTCTTTTGTTGGCCATTACCCAGGTCTTCGCCATTGCTTTCGTGACAATGCTGACCGAGACTGAAGTTGGGGCGAAGTACTTCCCTCATGTTCCCTATGCTATGCACAGCTTGCTCCTTCAGGGCACACTCCTAGATTCCATCTCGGAAATGCTGAGCATGATGATCGAAAAGGAAGAGTTTGCGGGCCTCGCTCTCATGTACGTCTTCATGATCGTGTCTGCGGTTACCATCATGAACATGCTTATCGGTGTCCTGTGTGCTCCTTGGCGCAAGAACATGCTATCCGCCAGTCTTCTGCCTTCTGTTTCAGCCACTGATGTTTGGCAACCTTTCTAGCATTGGCTCTAGCATTGGCGGCATTCACCACGCCTGACCTGTCGCACCCAGTTCACCGTTTGAAGATCTCAGGAAGTAATCACTGCAGTGGCAGATGCAGAGAAGGAGGCACTTCAGGCCGGCTGTTGAGGGCGAGGTTGAGGTTTTGCATTTCGCCCTCCCATGGGGGATTCCAGTCCATAACGGCCTTGCGACGTGTGCCAGGTCAGCTGGACTACAGAAGTTCTCCAGACGTGCCTGCAGCTGGGGGCCGATGAGAACAACGACGGCTGCATTGACACCTTGCGAATTTAGGGTGTGGGTTGAGACTCAGGAAGACTCAGGTAAAGGGAAGCCATTGTCAAAGAGCCGAAGGTTAAGGGATACCAAGTTTTGTACATTGGTTGTGTTTGGTTCGTAAGGGGGTCCTTTGGGGCTCCTCAGCCCAGTAGAAGAAGCAGAAGCAGAGGGAGGGAGAGAGGGAGCAGCAGAAGCAGCAGCAGCGGCGGCGGCGGCGGCGGCGGCCGCAGCAGCAGCAGCAGCAGCAGCAGCAGCAGCAGCAGAAGCAGAAGAAGAAGAAGAAGAAGAAGAAGAAGAAGAAGAAGAAGAAGAAGAAGAAGAAGAAGAAGAAGAAGAAGAGGAAGAGGAAGAAGAGGAAGAGGGAGAAGCAAAGTGCCCTGCAACTTTCCTTCCAACCCAAAATCCCAAACCTCTCCTAGGCCAGACGTTAAAGGGCGCCTTACTGTTGGTTGAATTCCACAGTTTCGGAGGGCTCTGCATCGAAGCAAGCATGAGGGTTTAGGTATCGGGTCAGCTCAAGGTTCATGAGTTCATGGCTGCGAACAGTACAGCATCAGCATGCTTCGAAGGATCTGGAGGAGTTCCAGCACATGGTCTCCAACTCAAAGGTGCGGAAGGTCTTGCGTGAGGCGGACGTCGACGTGCAGACTTTGGCGGCTTGGCTTTCTTCCATTTCCCGCTGCCCCCACTCAGATCACTAAAACGTTCGCCCCGCGGGTTGACGATGGCTTTGCCGGAACATATTCTTGTGCCAGCACACTTGACGTGTTGCTAGTCCGAACATGTCCGAACTTACCAGCGATGTGCTCCACTGCTCCACTGCGACCGATCCTTGTGAGTTTAGGGTCTAGCTAGGGCATGTGGTCAAACGGTGCCAGAGACCTCAATGACTTGGGCGTGTCACATGACATCCGCAAGCGCAGCCTCTGACTCGAACTATTGTAAGCACGCATCGTTTGGAGACTCAGGTCAACTTTTTAGATGTCCTCTTCGAAAATACCAGCGACGAGGGTGGCTTCTGCGAGAAGGCATGCGAACCTGCCATCTGTGATAATTAAAAGTAGGCTTCGGTAGCAGGCTGCGTGCGGCAGGCTTCAAAATTTGTCAGCAAGAAGTTCATGAGCTCAGAAGGAGTTTGCAACGGATCCGTGTTCTATTCAAAGTTTAAAGGGAGACCCTACAACTTTTGCCAGCAGGGACGCACGTACTAGTGGGGCAGGTAATATGTATGCCCGGGCATGACAGAGATATGACATGGCCAGTTCACTAAATCTGCAGCCGTCAAATTGAAACATTGTGCGAGTGCGGCAATGTTCATGAACGAGGCCAGCTTTCTAGCCCTCCCGATTTCCCTTTGATCTGAAACTGGGATCGGAGAAAGGATGGCGCAGTTTGTTGGCGCGGAACACCCTCGCGAAGAGTTCTTCTCTGAGACGTGAGCGAAATCTGTTCGTTCTTTGCGAGTGTTCACGGCTTGTGAGTTCAGCCGGGACAGTTAAATCCACGAGCGTACAAGCCTTAAAGCCGAACTCCCTTGCTCAAAGCTCTGCACCTGAATGCGCACGGGAGGTGCCGTTCTCCCAGCTCCTCCGCTGCATTCCATCTCCAGCTGTGACGTGTGCATCCGTGTGCTGCATGCCAAGTGCTTCAAATTCTATGCTTCCTGGGATTTGAGAAGCCCAGGGCTTCACTCACATGGTGCACCCTAGCAGCCCTAGAACAACCCTCTAGTCGTAGTAGCTTCACTGCTTCGCCTACCCTAATCCAGGCCAATGCCCTCAGACTGTTAAGACTCTTAGAACCTCAATGCTCAGGTTCATGGAGCGGCTCCTAAAGCTCCGAGGGAGCAACACCGCCACAGTCAAAGACTTGGAAGCCTGGCAAACGGTTTTAAGCAAGTCTTCCACCAAGGGCTTCAATCGTCATGATACATGTTTCTCTCAAGCTCATCTTCTGTGGCTCTGTGGTGGTGTTCTTAAGCTCGTTCGGGAGTCGATCCTAAAGATGCCTATGTCCCCGAGTTTCGCTGACTGCAATTTTTGGCTATGCACACCAGTGTTTGCAGAATCCTTTCCAGCGCCAACACCCTCTGCCCCCTTCAGCTTCAGTTAATCAAGCTCGGCACACTGCCATCTTCGCCCGTCAGATTGATTTTTTTACAGCTTCTGAATGAACACCAAGGTGGATCTGAGAAAATGGATGATGCGCGAGTTCATGGACATCAAAACGCACGTGGTGCGCACGACGTCCCGACAAGAGACGCCCCCTGGCCAGAAGTTCGAAAATTGGCTTTGGCTTCAGAGTACTGGTTCTAAGATCTGATCTGAGTCAAGCTGAGCTGAGGAAAAAGAGCCCGCCTCAGCGAACCTCTGCAATGCCCTATGGCTTACCTTTCGAATTTGTGATGCAAGTCTAGCTGAACCTTGGAGACACTGCCAGCAGCAGGAAAAGGCGCTGTGTGGCTTTCTGTCCGCCGGTCTCTTCGGGATGGTTTGGAAGAATGGTGAGGGATGCGCAAAGGTCTTCTGGGGCTCATAAGCCAATCGCTTTAGCGAACTGTAAGCTGTCTTTGCGAATGAAAGACGATGGAACCCAGCATAGAACAGCGATATCCGCAACATCCTGCAACAATCTCTCGACATAATTGTAAACGCTTGCGCGCAGCCGGGCCAGCCCACGTCCCAAGGCCCAATCGAAAACACCTTTCAGGCTCATAAAGTTTTAGGGGATGTGTCAGGGAGGTCCCAAGAAGTTTTGAGGGTCAGGGGGAGGGGGTTCAGGGGCGTTCAAAGCCAGTTTCCTGCATTTTTGGCGCTGCCCCTGTATGTCTGCGGCTCCCACAGAAAAGGGGGGGGGGGGGTGTGTCACTGAAAACAGTGGAGAAGGAGAGACCGAATCTTGGTCTGCTGGTTCTAGATTGTAGATGCCTCTCGGCTGGAAGCCGAAACGAATTTTACTGTAAGAACCTGGCCGTCAAAGAATGTTGGTCCATGCCAAGAAGACTGTATCGCGAATATCTCGATTCATGATCGGTTTTTCATAAGCATACGCAGCATATGCACCTTTGTTTCAGAGCTCCCCAGAAAGCTCCAGCTCCAGCGGACTCCAGCGGAGGTCTGCAGAGCTTTTATCCCCAAACGCAGCCGGAGCTCAGAAACTTTCCAGGCCGACAAAAGTTTTGGAGGTTCGTTCATTCGTTCATTGCGACCCCAAGAATATCGCCTGCCATCTTTCAGGGCATAGACGTTGCACTATTGGAGCTGCTTCAACGCTCCGTCTTCTGCTGGCATTTGGGCTTTCAGCAAGAATTTTTGTAAATCACATCAAGCGTTGGCTCGGGTGAGATGAAGGCCCGAGGATGTCGATTGCTCACCACGTGGCCTGCTTGGCTCTTTCTGGTGGAGTTCCTGTCGCTTCTTAAACCTTTGCCCCAGGCTGCCGTGGCGATTCCGAGCCCGTTTGATGGATGCGATGAGTTGTTGCGCGCGCTGGATGAGTCTTGGTCGTTTCCCGTAGACATGTCGCAATCGGTCGTCAACCAATTCATCGTAGCTTTTCCCGAATGCTCCGCAGAAGGGTTCCCGTTTTAAAGTTGGGGGTCTGGGGGTTGGGAGGTTACCAAATGTCGCTGCGTTGTGTCCGCCAAGCGTTAAGCGTTCAAAAGCGATCGCAAGCGTGCGGGTGGCGTCGCACGCGCTGTTAAGGGGGAACTCCACAGGATGCGCGTCGCCACGGCGTTCCGAATCCGTCAAGCTAAGGGGGAACTCCGCAGGTCGCGCCGTTCTGCAACGTTCCGAATCCGTCCAGCTAAGGGGAAACCATAGTTCGCGCCTCCCCGCAGCGTTCCGAATCCGTCAAGCTAAGGGGGAACTCCATCCATAGGACGCCGTGGACGCGCCTCCCCGTGGTCAAGCTAGGACCCCTCCATGCGGCGTTCCGAATCCATCAAGCTATGGGGAACTCCACAGGACGCACGTCCCCGCAGTGTTCCGAATCCGTCAAGCTAAGGGGGAAGTCAACAGGACGCACGTCCGCACGGCGTTCCTAATCCGTCAAGCTAAGAAGGACTCCGCAGGACGCACGTCCCCGAGGCGTTCCGGTGGTACGTGGTGGTGGTGCGTGGTGGTGCGTGGTGATGGTACGTGGTGGCCGTACGTGGTGGTCGTACCGGCGCGGCGTTCCCTCCACAGGACGCACGTCCCCGCGGCGTTCCGGTGTGGTGGTGGTACGTGGTGGTGGTACGTGGTGGTGGTGGCACGTGGTGGTGGCGCGCGGTGGTGGCACGTGATGGTGGCACGTGGTGGTGGTACGTGGTGGTGGTACGTGGTGGTGGTACGTGGTGGCGGTACGTGGTGGTGGCAGGTGGTACGTGGTGGTGGTGGTGGTACTGGTGGTACTGGTGGTACTGGTGGTACTGGTGGTACTGGTGGTACTGGTGGTACTGGTGGTACTGGTGGTACTGGTGGTACTGGTGGTACTGGTGGTACTGGTGGTACTGGTGGTACTGGTGGTGGTGGTGGCATGTGTGGTGGCACGTGTGGTGTGGTGGTCCGTGGTGGTGGTACGTTGTGGTGGTATGGTGGTGGTACATGGTGGTGGTACGTGGTGTGGCAGTGGTGGTGGTACGTGGTGGTGGTGGCACATTGACATGGTGGTGGTGGTGCACTTGGTGGTGGTGGCACGTGGTGGTGGTACGCGTGGTACGTGGCGGTGGTACGTGGTGGTATAAGGGGGAACTCCATAAGACGCCTCCCGTTAAGCGAAGGGGGAACTCCATAGGACGCGCCTCTCGCGTTCCGAGTCCGCCAAGCTAAGGGGGGGACACCCCTCCCCGTGGCGTTCCGAATCCGTCAAGCGCGGCGTTCCGAATCCTTACTCCGCGTCGCGTCGTTCCGCTGCGTTCCGAATCCGTCAAGCTAAAGGGCAACTCTATAGGATGCGTTCCGAATCCGTCCAGCCCCACAGGACGCACGTCCCCGTGGTGGTACGTGGTGGTGGTACGCGGTGGTGGGTGGTGGTATACGTGGTATGTGGTGGTGGCACGTGGTGGTTGCGCGTGGTGGTGGTACGTGGTGGTGGTACGTGGTGGTGGCGCGTGGTGGTGGTACGTACGTGGCGGGGGTACGTGGTGGTGGTACGTACGTGGTGGTGGTACGTACGTGGTGGTGGTACGTACGTGGTGGTGGTACGTGGTGGTTGTGCGTGGTGGTGGTCCGGTACGTGTTGGTGGTACGTGTGGCGGTGGTACATGTGGTGGTGGTACGTGGTGGTGGTACGTGGTGGTGGTGCCTGGTGGTGGTGGTGGTGGTGCTGGTACCGTGGTGGTGGTGGTGGTGGTGGTGCTGGTGCTGGTACCGTGGTGGTGGTGGTGGTGGTGGTGGTGGCCTGGTGGTCCTGGTGGCGGTGGTGGTACCTGGTGGCGGTGGCGGTGGTGGTACCGGTGGTGGTACCTGGTGGCGTTGGTGTGGTACTTGGTGGTACTTGGTGGTGGTGGTGGTGGTGGTGGTGGTGGTGGTGGTGGTGGTGGTGGTGGTGGTGGTGGTGGTGGTGGTGGTGGGTGGTGGTGGTGGTGGTGGTGGTGGTGGTGTGGGTGGGTGGGATGTGGGTGGGTGGGATGTGGGTGGGTGGGATGTGGGTGGGTGGGATGTGGGTGGGCGGGGTGGTGCTGGTACCTGGTGGTGGTGGTGGTGGTACCCGGTGGCGGTGGTGGTGGTGGTACCTGCTGGCGGTGGTGGGTGGTGTGTGGTGGTGGTGGTGGCGGCGGCGGCGGTGGTGGTGGTGGTGGTACCTGGTGGCGTTGGTGGTGGTGGTACTTGGTGGTGGTGGTGGTGGTGGTGGTGGCACCGGTGGGGTGTGGATGCGTGGGATGTGGGCGGCGCGGGTGAATGCGGGTGGGTGGGTGTAGGTGGGTGGGATTTGGGTGGGTGGGGTGAGGGTCGGTGGGATGCGGGTGGGTTAGATGTGGGTTCGACTACGCACAACTTCATGCGCAGTGCTCCGATTGACCGTGCGAGAAAAAACCATTCTTTCCGCCCGCGCACCGACATTTCGTTTATGTTGTGACAGGTTCTTGCATTCGGGTTCGTGGCCCCTATCAGGTTTTGACGGTTGGGGGGATGGCTGGAGCACGGGCCGAACAGCCTTCACCCTTCTTCACCCAGGATCACTACTCTCAATGGCGAGCAGCCGTGGAGCAATCATTTGGCCAACAGCTACATGATGGTACACAGGCACGGTAGTGTATTTCTCCCCCTTGAAAAGCAGCTACGTGCAGTTTGGTGTCGCACTTCACGAGTTGATTGCTCACATCTCGTGGTGTGAAACCGAGAGTTGTGATCCGCGATCATGCTGCTTTGTGTTGGCACAAGGCTACTTGCAGAGCCAACAGCAACAGTGGCTCATCACAAAGGCGAGGTCAACGGCCGAAAGGCCGGCAGGCTCACAATTGTTTATCGCCACGCCGTCTATGATTGCGCAAGCTCCGCTCTTGACTGTGTTGCTGCAGTTGCTCCTCTAGCACGCTTGGAATGGTCTATACTCACGGATGGCGCAGGAAAGCTTGACGATATGAAGCAATTGTACCCACCGGCTGTGGAGAGCAGCGATCCACTACCAGCGCCCCAGTGAAGACGATGGCATCTTGCAACAGCTGTTACCACATGTTACCGCAACAGGGAATACCGGTGAACCATGGTAAACCGAGGACAACCCTCAGCCTCAGGCTGAGGTGCCAACCGGTCAAAAAATGCCGATTATCGCCATCCAGGAGGACGTAGACACGGCCCTGCGCTTGACATATCTTGGCATGTGCCATTGTTTCTGTCATTGTTGCTGATGCTCGCGGTCTATTAATTCTATATTATTCAAAGCTGAAACATGCCAGGTCAGCACCGGCTGTCGGGAATTTGAATGAACTTGGCAGTTTGGGTGCTGAGGTTCGGGACAGCCAGGACAGCCGATCACTCACAAGCCCTCGACGACGTGCTAGCGGAGAAAACGGTATCTCGTTCGATGTCGACCGAAAAAAGCAGCCAGGCTGCAGTTCAAGTGTGTAGATTGTGTAGGTCGACGGGATTGCAGCTGATGATCTGAGAAGTGTTTGTCTCCGACAAGTCGTGAGAACAGGTCATCAAAATCTGGTGGAACCGCAGCCATGCTCGGCCTTCACGACGTTGGTAGCTGGCAGAAGTTCCTCCGTCGGCGCAAAAACTACATCGATTACATGGCCGGGCTGTTGGTCCTCCTGAATTCGTGCCTTGTTTCGGGTTGCACCGTTCCATGGAAAGTTATTGACGCGGAGAACCTGAAAAACCTGCATCTTGTTTCTTTGTTGCAGTGCTGGCTGAGGTTCGTGATGATGTTGGAGCTAGAGATTGAAGGTCGCGCAGTGGGAACTGCAGAATTCGGACGCTTGGACACTACAGGTCAGTGTGTTATCATTGTAATCCTTCTTTGTTCTGTGTTCGTGGTCGCCAAATCTCCCGAGCCTTAAGTCCCCCTCCTCCAGGTTTTACCAGCTCAGTGCCCGATTTGGCTGTGCTTCAGCCGACCTTTCGAACAATTGACGCCGTGTTTGTGTCTCGGTATCCAATGCAAATTCTTTTCATGTCCGGGCAAAAAGAAAGGGCGACCCCCAAGCACATCGAGCCTTGCAGGTATACATATTCCTTGGCGAACTGCTCATACGCTTGACCATCGAGCGCTTGCAGCTACTCGAGCTGTGCTGTTGAGTTGCGGTGGTCGGTGTTGTTCATTCCATGGTTTGGCTGCCGATCAGCCTGTGTGATTTGCAGTGAAACTGAAGCCCGGATTTGGATTTCGGATTTCAACACCTTCGGGGGGTCAAGCAGCGATGATCTGGGACAGGTTCTTCCACGACTTCGCCAACTGGTTCGATTTGGTACTGGTCGTTGTCGGGGCAGCTTGGCTACAAAGTGAACCATACGGGTTTATATGAGGCCCGAAGTCAAAAGTTGGAACGGTTAGACGAGATGCCCAGAACATCTTCGTGACTCTCCAGTGTACTGAGATTCCTTGCACTAGCAATGGTGTGCCGCATCATGCCACCATGTGCTGCCCCGACATCCGTATCGCCTCGCGAGACAAGATGCGGCACGCGATTCGGGGTGACGACACAGGCGCATGTGACGACACGGGCGCGCGAGTTATTCGCTCGTCGATTTCTGCTGTAGCCCGTACACATTCGCCCCGTGCCCATGGACAGGGTTGGTGGCTCAATGCAGGCTCTTTGCGTACGGGCCCCCACTTTGATGGTGCGGGGGTTGCAACTCAAAGCGCGCAGCGCGCTCTGTGGCCTACCGGGATGGTGGCCACATCGGCCCGTGATGGAGGACAGGCGTGCGCGGTCTATGAGGATCGCAAGCGCAGCCACCAAAACAGCCGCCATGTGCCGGGATCAGGGTCTGCAATTCGTCCCGCTCGTGAGAGCTGCGGCGGAGGCTGGGGTCCCGAGACCATGAAGACCCCGCCAGGACCGGTGAAGCGCCTGGCACTGCCACGGAGCACCTGCACCAGTCCCTGAGCGTGACCTTGCAGTGAGAGCTTGCTCGGGCTGTGCTTCGCCGCCTCTCGGCTCATCCTTCCAGGGGGGGTCGCCCCGCGGATCCTGGCGCGATACTCTGGGCTGACTGTGTATCTGTATAGGCTGTCAACAGGCAGTGCGCACTCTTTTGGACCAGCTCCTGTTGGCATTACACCGACGATATTAGGGTTTGGTGTTCTGAGTTCTGAGTGTCTAAGCGCGCTCTTTCGCACTTTGGGCAACTCGGTTGCCAGATCTTTGTCATCTTCCGCCCCACAACTGACTGAACTCACTGGTCGCACGCTTGGCATGTCTTCGCCATCCAACGGCCATGCTCGAGTGTTTCCGTGACGTGTGACAACCAATAGAATCACGAGAAGCGCGATTCTGCACCTCTCGGGTCGCTTTAGTAACCCCCCCCCCAGCGGCGCCAAAGCAAACAGCTTCCAGCCATCCAGCTCCGTGTCCGTGCCTGGGGCGTTGAGGATCGCCTCAAAAGCGACGCGCATTGCGTTCCGCAAGAGTCCACGCAGTTGGCGCGTCGGGGATTGGAACGTGTAAACCCGTTCGCCAAGTTCGGCGGCCAAATCAACGCTGTGCATTTGCGCGGGCAGTCTGGCAGGCGAAGCCCGCGGTTGGCCGCGCCGCACACTGCCTAAATGACGCCGTTGGGATCCTGGTGTCCGTGTCGAGTTGGGTGGTCGCCACGGGCGCTCTCACCTCCCGTTCGCCTGCCCACGCCCGCGTCCGCGACCCCCACGCCAACCTCCCCGAGCGCGAGCTGCGAGCTGCGAGCCCGGCAATGCACGAAACATGCGCAGCGCAAGCGCTTGAGCCTGCTGGTGCGGCGTTGGCAGCGTCGGCCACGGGGATGGGGGGGGGGGCACTACTAGCGCTGCAGCCCCTGCGGATGCTGCTCTTCCGGGCACTCGGCGCACTCAGGGTCCCTCTTGATGAGTTGGTGCGGCGGGATCGCCGAAGGCAGATGGGCCCAGTTGCTCCACGAGTGTGTGGCCGCAGCTCGGAAGCCCACAGCAGCGTCTACGGCTTCTGCGGCTGACGGGTCTGATTACAACGTCCGACGCCGAGCTGAGAGAGCTGCGGCCCTTGCTTACATGGGCGAGCTTTCAGCCGCTGCCCAGCTAGGCCTTGTGACTCACGGCTTCCCCATGGGCACGCCACAGCCGAGACGCTCGCCGCGTCGGTGCATTGAACCGCCCCTGAACACACGATCCTTGCCCATCATGCATCGAACTTTGCCAACAGGGGTTGCTGGCCAATCTCCGCCGAGCCTGACGGGGGCAAACAGCAGGGGCCGTCGGGTTGCACAAAGGAGCACCTGCGGGTCATGCTGGACAAGGAGTTCAGCACCGAGCGTAGCTGACGCGCCGGGAAAGATCGCAGGTGCGCTGAGAATCGGCCGGGTGGTCACGTTGACCAAGCCAACGGGCGGAACACGGGCGCCGGTGATGGGGGATGTCTTTCGCCGTCTCGTGGCACGCATGCTGCCGCAGCAGCTCGGGAAGCAGTTTCGGCAAGCGTGCGTGCCATCAGCACGCGCGCTGGGCTTGCGTCCTGCGAGATCAAAAAATTCCTACTAGTAAGCACATGGCTGACGACACCCCCACGCTTAGTGCGCTAAGGTCGCTGCTAGTCACCGTGATTTATCCTACAAGAAAAGGGGACTTGTGACCCATACGCAAAGTCGACTGAGCAACCCAGTGGTGATGCCACACTAGAGCCATGAACTGTTTTCAATGAGGTGCTCGACTTGCTCGTGTTTGTGCCATTGTCCGCAACGGGAGAGCCGCAGAACATTGCAACCTGCCGAGAATAAGTCACGGACATGTTGCGATCATGTTGTCATGGACACTCATGTCTCGACTTTGCCGAGGTGATGATGCGGCTTGTGCGAGTTGTCAAGTCACTGCGAGCCATTCGTATGGTTCGCACGCTGCGGCTTTTTCGCGGGTTGAACTTGCTAGTCAAAGCGTGCCAGTGCCTTGGCCACAAATCGCAACAGTCAGTGCATGTGCCTGTGTGGCTGGGTGGATGTTAGCGTGTGTGCATGTAGATGTGTTGTTAGCAGCAAGCGTTGTCGCACAAGGTGTTTTTTGCCATCACTGGGATGGTCGATGGTATTGCTCGTTTCCTTGGCTGGGTAATGCACGAATTTGTTCTGCATGTTGTATGAAACTGGTTGTGCTTGGCTCGCAAAAGGTTGTGTTCATGTCAATGGGCACGCTGGTCATGGGCAACCTCCTGCGAGATTTCATTACTGATCCCACTGCGAATATGGATGACCGGCTTTGGATATACCAGCGTTACGGCACAGCGTATTATGCAATGTACACATTGTACGAAATAACTTTTGCAGGAGCGGGCAGGGAGTATTCGCTGTGATTAGGTTTGTTTTTGTTTTTTTTGTGTTTGGGACATTCTCGCCATTGCCGCCTTGCAGCATCGCCACTGTTGCAGGCAATTGGCCAACGAACGCACGGCCCGTACTGGAAAAGGTTAACCAAAGCTTCGTGATCTTCTATGTCTTGTACATCACAATTATAGTGTTCGCTGTCATCCGTGTGATCTCCGCAACATTTTTAAAAGACACATTAGACGCAGCACAAAATGATGCGGAGAATTTGGTGGTGGAGAGATTGCGGAAGAAGGCGCAATACGTCAAGAAATTGGAGGAAGTGTTCATGGCGATCGACCAATCAGGGGATGGAATGTGCCCGTGGCAGCAGCATTTGCCTCCGGCACATGCGCAGTTTTTTTTTTTTTTCGTATTATGTAAATGTGTAGATATGTAGATATGTAGGATTATGTAGGTGTGTAGATATGCGTATAAAGGGATGCAAAAGCAAGTTTATGTTTATTCTCGCTTGCTCCGCAACAAGGATCTCAGAAGATCGCCTGGCCAACATTCTTTCAAACCCACAAGCTGTCGCTTATTTCCAAACATTGGATGTGCTTTGGCATACAATATTTATAGCCAGCGCACGTTCGGTCATGTTCGAACATCTTCGAAGTAATTAGGTGACATGAGCCGAGGTTGACGTAACGGAAAGTGCGGCACTCTTCCATCTCATTGACAACGGAGATGGTGAGGTGCGCCTATTTGTGTTCATGCTGTCATTCCTCACGGGCTACCCACCATGACATGCGCTTTGTACGTTTGGTTTAGAAAATTGTTTCCAGGCACCATTGGGATCCTGGGGAAGTTTTGCCAGCACGAATATCCTCATACGGCTCACAAGGGATGACATCAACACTGTTTTTTCTGCGTTCCATGCAGTCAATCAAAAGTGAGCTTCACATGCGATGTTGATATGTTTTCGTGCCCTGAGCCCGCTGTCGACATGTGGGTTTTCGGTGGTAGTTGTTTGCGCGATGCAACGTCTCTGACTTCTTCTTCTATGGGGTATCTTGTTGTTCCTCCGGTCAAAGCGTCGTGGTATACGCAGATGACATGGTGATTTTAAGTGACAACCCTGCCGACCTGCAGCGAGCTCTTGACGCAGCCCATGCTTGGGTCATGTCTTGGCGATTTCACTTGGGGTCGGGCCGAGGAAACCTGCAGTCATGATGGCCGTCCAGCTGGGTACATACAAAAAAAATCACTAAAGGTTGTTAAAGGGACATCAGGTGCAGATAAATATCTATAAAAGTCCGTAAAGGAAGATAAAGGGCCGGTAAATGTCTGTAAAGGAAGATAAACGTCGCTAACCGTCGTTAAAGTCGTTGAAGGATTGAAGGAAGGAAGACAATATGATGGTGGTGCCGGAGCTTCAAAAAGTGGCCTGGTAACCTTTGCCGCGTGTCAGAAACTTGCATATTTGTAGGCGTTACTCTGCACGAAACCTTGTCTTGGAAAACACACATTGACCAGTTGCTCGCGCGTGGCGAATGCAAAATGGCTGCGTGTCTGTTTTGGACGGGGATTGTGCTGCCTCCGGTCCTGTCGTCCCTTCGGGAGGCCCGTGCCTTCGCTCCTCGCTCTCGGCTTTGACCCACACCTGCCTGGGCATCTCCCACCGTGCCTGTTGTCGATGAGGAGTCGCTCCCCTTGACGGCCTCCACGGAACCCCGAGCCCTCAGCGAACTCCTTGCTGATTCCTCCCTGCTCCCGCCCCTCGCCAGCCGCATGCTGTGACTCGGCTGCCTGCACCCTGGCTGCGGCGCCACTGCACAGGGACCGCGTGGACAGGAGAAAAAAAGGCACCTTCCTTCCTGGAACACATGTATCAAACGTACGTGCACCCGTCCATCTGTTTTGGGTTGGAATTTGTTACGGCTGGCTTGCAAACACGATTTCAGACTCGTGTCAGGTCGACGGCCTCTCGGTTGGCCACGGGATTCACGTACCCTTGCTGTTCAGGGTCAATTCGGGTGGTATGATGCTGACACCACTCGTTTCATCCGGGCAGATGGTTTGTGGGCCACGATTGTGGTCGCGATTCTTCTGTATGCCGCCAACTTTTTCGGATTTCTTAGGGATGTCCGTTATCCCCGTTTCTATTTTCGGTGCTGATGACCGTGTTACTTTTCGATGCTTATGACGCGTTACGGTCGCGCATGCAATGCTTTGAAGCGGACTTGACGGTCAACGTGTGCGTGCGGACGACGAGCTGCCCTGCAAGCAACCCTGGGGCAAACTCAGTAGCCGGGCCTACAAACCAGTCAGTCAGTCAAGGCCTCGTGTACTGTGACACATGGGCATGGTGAGAACACTTAGTTCCCAAAGCAGAAAGATTGCACACGCTGTCGCCACACATTCGGTGAAGACAACCATAATACCTCCAGATCTTCACGATTCCCTGCCACCTGTAAGGCAAGCTGATACACCTGGGAGGTCCAAACTTGTTTGGGCCGACCCCTACCTTTCGGTTGCTTGCGGCCTTGGAGTTGGAACGAACCCACCTCACAGACACATGTTCGCATGACATCTGGGGGAGGAAGCGCAGCTGTCTATACATCAAGATGGCAGAATACGGTTTAGACACGGCTTCCTTCAGAACATCCGCACTGGAGACGTGGCTTAGGAAAGAATGTGGGATTCCAAGAATTTTGCGTAAACATCGAGCTTGAAAGCCATCCAATTTTCGAAGGGATGCTTTGTTCAGCCACGCAGTATGAAAGCAATATAAAGCAATACAGCAACGGCGAACCAATGCATGCATCGAAAATGCGAGCCTTGCGACGGAGCGTGATGGAAGCGTGCTTCCAAACGTTACGGAGGACTTGAAAACCAGCTCTCGCAGAGCCCAGCTGTCGAGACGACTTGCATTCAGGCTTCAGCACATTGAAAGAGCAGCGGATGGGCATTGCTTCGACGTTGTGCCCGTTGAAACGAAGCCCGTAATGTCCGCCAGCTCGAGCAAGACAGTCCACGTAAGTTTCGGCCCGAGACGCAGTGCAAGCGACAACCATGGCGCACATCTTGCGGACCAACGCCCTTCATCGTGGGTTTCGTGTGTTTGCGCGTGAGTGCGCGGGTGTGCCACATACTTGAATGGGGGTGTTCATTCCGGTTCTGCACAAGGTGTGGTCAAGCGGCGGATGAAGCACACCCGGTTGCATTTAATTAATAGGTTTAATGCAACTTATGGCTCCAACTTGAACCACGTGGACAGCTTACATTCATACTCGCAGTGGCAGCCTGTGCCGCGTTTGCACCCCATTGTCTGTACTAGCAACAACCAGATGGTAGGTCCGCCCGTCGCGGACCCCGTCGCCGTGGCGCATCTTGTGTTGACTCTCTCGCGCGTGCATTGGTAGAATGCCGTACTCTTCATCAAGCCCGCAGTAGCTGGCGACAGCAAACCCGTGGACGGCACGTCCTTGCGCTGCACACCTTGTTTTGCACACACCCGACAGTAAACACAGCCCGAAACATTGAGGCCAACATTGAGCACAACATTGCGTTCGTTGGCCGTGTGTGCCGCAGCTGCCGCGTGTGAGATGTGACCTGAGCTGTAAGCGCTCCAGACACTCTTTCCGAACCGTATGCTTCATTTTTGGCACGCTGTTGCTAGCCTTGCATTGAATGTTATTGTCGCTGTGTGTGGCGATCTTGTTGATGTTGGACTCGCTTTAGTGTCCAGGGGCGCCCCCTCCCCCTCCCCCCCCAAAAAAAAACACAATTTTGGGGTTTTCGGGGATCCTGTATAATCTGGGACGGGGGGCTGGGGGTAGGGCGGCTAGGGCTCGAGGGTTGAGGGGAAGCCTTGAAGCTTGAGGGTCCAAGCTTTCCAGGCTTTGTAACTCCCTGGCCAGGGCGCTGCGGATTAATGCGGGTAACCGAAACCATTACAAAAAACGAATCAGGGCAGCTCGTGGGCTACTCCCTTGAAAGGGGCCCTGCCCCCTGACACTAAAACGAGTGCAACATTACGTCGTGTATTACGCTTCACTTTTTGACCATAACTACCACATGGTCGTTCGAAGACAAGTCTCTGGCTTCTTCTTGTTTGGAGGTGACGATGGACGAATTCATTGAAGGCATCATGCGCTGCAAGGGCCCGGCGAGGGCCATTGACCAGGCATCTAAGTTGGGTTTCATGCATATGCAAGAAATGTAGGGTTGCAATGTGTGAGGTGGCGATTCGTGCCATGATCCAACAACTGGACTCCAAATTGAACCGACTGACCCAAAAGCTGGTAGATACCGGCACGGCCGATTTGCCTTGGACCTAGACTGTGCAAATCTGCGCATGATCGGATGCTGAGATGCTGCACTTGTTACGTGCTGCACTTTGCTTTCTGGTTCTTGTGGACATGCTTGTTGCAAAGGTGATGGTTCGTGAAGATCGTGGGTCGCCTTCGATCTTCAGTTTGACCATGGCTTGCGAAATAGTCGCTTCTGCCACATCTCTCGTTTTGCTGCAAGTGCCATCCGTCCAAAACCGCCATCAGAGATGGAGGGCCCGAATAAAGTGGAAAAAACACGATCCACAAGTCCCAGGCACAGTTTGGTCAGGGATCCTCATGTGATATGCGTATCGGGGTGCTCATCCTCGCGCAATCATATTCTGATTTTTTGAAGCAGCCAACTGTCTTGGCATGCCGCACTCCCCAAGGGAGGTGGGCATCCTATTTTCGCAGCCATGTACCGAGAAGCCGGCACAGTCGGCTTGAGCCGCGTGTCGAGGGCACTGCAACTTTGATGCCAAGTGCCCAGGTGCGTCTATATGCAGAAGGGCTGTTGTGGTTTCACCTAGCTGCCGCGATGGGTGTCCAAATGTCCGTCCACCCCTCCATTTTTACGCGTGTATCTAATTCATTTTCAATCCCGCTGGTGGCACGAAACCAGTGACTGGGGGAACGGCATCGAAACTGAGCAGCATCATGCCACAACACTCGCGATGACAATTCCAGTGCCACCGCTTGATGCAAACCTTCCGCAGGATTTCTCTAGGCCTTTTTAGGGCATGTGGAGCAGGAAAAGTGGCGAGTTGAGCGCCTGTTTGATATGCAGCGTTAGGCAGATTAATCTTTTGGCATTTTAGAGTCTAGTGACTTGCTTCCCGTGGATGGCATTTTGCGGATATCCAGACGTTTCCATGGACATGGCTTGCAAGATGTCGTTGTACGGGCACATTGAGGGCCACGCTACCCACAGCGGTTTCATGTCCTTTCCGGCCTGTAATTATTACTGTAATTAAGTTTTCTTAGTTGAATGCTGGCGACAATGCACCTCGCCCAGCTTCTGAACAGCTGTGACGGAATAACTGCCTGACCTGTATCTTCTTGAACGGTCTGCTGGCTACCGGCCTAGTAGCCGCGTTAGGTTGAGGTGCTACCCGTGCTGAAGCATTCGCGACAGCAGAGACTGTCTCCGGACAATTACTACAAGACAGTACGGAGTGAGTATCCTTCAACCCGGTTTGGTTGTTAAACCAAACAACTGTGAACCTGGCAATGCTGCTGGGTTGCGCTGGCGATTGCATGTTCTTTTCCGTCGTTGTCGGGCTGTCAGGCCGTAGCATGGCAAGCACGCGACTTTCTTCATGCACAGTGCCGTTTTTAGTGCACAGTGCCTTTATCCCGAAACACCCAGAAGCCGTCAACCTTTTGCAATCGAATAGGTCGCCGGGAGCACTGCCTTGAGCCATGGCGATGCCACCACCCGAGGTGGAAGAAGGCGCAGGGATATTGCGCTAAGGTGGTTGCGGAGTTTCGGCCCCCAAGTAGCCACAGCAGTTGCAACCCCTTCCGGTCCAGGTGGAACCTATGTGCCGCCCCTGCATGTCTTCCTCAAAAAAAACGACTCCTACAGGTGTAACAAACTGCTACGCCACAGCAGATGCCCTGAGCGCACGCCACGGGACACTGAGTACGGACGCGATATTCTACCTCAGGTATTTGCGAGGTTTTGGCAGATTAAAAGGGGGTTACCTGGTTGCCCTGGAGGACTCTCTGAGTCGGGCGCCAGGTCGAAGGTGGCGGGGTGTCGAAGGTGGACGCAGGTGCCGGTTTTGGCGGGGATGGCAGACCCCGAGCCCTAAAAACTCATGTTGGGTGACAAGCTCTAAACTTAAAAAGGTCATGTTGGATGGCAAGCCCTGACAAAAGGTCGTAAGCCAAAGCCTAGATCCTACCAAAAACACAACAAATGTCATATTGGGTGGCAAATGCTTCAACCCTAAGCCCGAAAAGGTCATTTTGGGTGCCAAGCCGTAAGGCCACGTCCGAAAAGGTCGTGAAGAGCCGGAAAAAGGCCTCCAAGAACCCCCCCATTGTCGAGGCTTTCTTCGTACTCACCGGGACCCCTGTGCGGCCTCGACACGCCCAAGCACCGTGTGCATTTTGAACGCGCGTGCGAGCGCCCTGATCAGCCCTACCCCCTGAGTCAATGTCGAGAAAAACTTAAGAACAGCCTGACTGCCATGTACTTGATCGGCATTTCGTGCGACAATCTCGTTGGCATCCTATCGCAGACAAACATTCGAAGTCGACCTTGGATGCTGGCAGGCTGGATAACACCGCGTGCACAGATGTGGCAAGAACCTTACTGTAGCCTCAGCGTTTTAGGACGGTTAAGCGTCAGAGGGCTCATAAGCGGGAATCCCGAGGCTGCAATACCGTCGGCACCTCGCCGTGTGGGCCTTGTTACTCTTGGCTGGCAGCAGCCGGTGGACTAGTTTTTGCACCGAGTGGGACTTCCTTGACAAGCAAACCATGATGCCACGGCTTCGCTGTCCCAACAACATCCTGAAGAGGACACCCCTTCGCCTTTTGCAAGCCCTAACTGCCCTGACTGTCTAACGGGCTGGCGCTCGCAGCTGGCCACGCCCCAAGGCGACATAAGGTTGCTTCATGGTCCTTCCCAGATCCCAGCCCCAGCCCCACAACATGCATAGCCCCACCTCGGAAAAGGAAGGGTCCATGATTGACGCGCGTGCCCTCAGCATCATAGAGCCAATCAACCAAAGCATCACATCAAGCACGCACGATTCTGAAAAGGCAGCAGCTCCCTTTTATGCCTCAACAGCAGTAGATACGAAACATTGCACTAGCAGTACAGGCGGCAGCTGAAAGCAGGGTTTGGGGTGTGGCAGGGGGGGTTTTCTTATTTGCTTCTCTACAGGCATCTGGTCCGTGGGAGTTGCCCTCGGCTTGTTCTCACAAATCTCGCCTGCTGGCCCGCCCAGGGTGCTGTCAGCTTTTGCTTTATGCCGACCCACCTGGGTGAGGTCCGGAGACAGAAATCCCAACCAGTCCCCAACTACTGAACCAACCGTTGCACCAACTCCTCGCAGTTCTAGCATCTTATTCGAAAGGTGAGGAACAAGAGAATCTCCAGCGTGCGAGAAGGCAAAATCTCAAGATGCGGTTCCAACAAATGAATCTTTAAGAAAAGACAGCACCTCAGTTGACATGGGATGCTAAGGGTGACACCAGCAGGCCAGGCACCCGGGCATTCGGAGGGTCGTGGTCGTTGCTTTGGTTTCTTGCCTGTGTTGTTTTCACGATGCCGAAGGGACCTGCCAACTGTTGCGCGTTCCTTCTCGTGGCACAAACCGCGGCGCTGTCAGCCACGATCTGGTGGGAAAAATTGTAGTGTTCAACGATGCCCACAAGATCTTATGCTCGTAGAAACCAATTTTCGAGCTCAGCTTGCTGAGAAGCAGCTTGAGGGTAATGCAGCACAGAATTCGGATATGTGTAGGTTGGCTTCGGGCATTCAGGGCTTTGTCGGAAGACGCGGCTGGCCCTGTTGATGCCGCACTCCACATCATACCGAGAAGCAACTTCGGCCCTCTGTGCCGAACACTGACCTTGTCATCTCTCCGTGCGCAGGAAAACGTGCGAAGCTCCAGCTGTGGAGGCATTTCGCGTGCGGAGTGGAAGTGCACTGATGTAGATGAAGCACTTGGCGTACCGACGTTTTCCCAGAGGGGCGAGAATGCCGGATCAAATAGCCGCCGGCTTGGTAATAGTGGACTGCGCCCATTGAAATGCAAGGGGTGGATCAAGAAGAGACTAGTGCAGTAATGCAGGCTAGGTCGACAAAATCAATACGAAAAGGCTAGAATGACAACTGAGGGGAATCGATGAACACAATAATTAGGGCAGACATGGGATGAGTGGAGACCCCAGTCATTCCTGATTCAACCCTCCAATTTCTTCTCCGAGCGCCTTTTGTAGGAATTGATTTCGAAGCAGCATGCGACAATGCAAGGGCAGACAACGATCCTTTCCTGGGTTCGTGGATGCGACTGGCAGGCCAGTGGACGAAAGCAACCGCTGTCACCACGGGCAACCCTTCCAACACCAGTGGCGTCGCAAAGGCTTGGGGTATGCAGTTGTTAGCGACAGCCATCCAACCACAATAGAACAGACATGGAGCGAGACACCAACACAACAATGCACACAGAGATTCAGATAAAGACGGGGAGACGCAAAACGCGAAAGTGTCGAAAGCGCAGCACTTATTCGTTCCGTTCGGTGGTGGTCTTCTTTTGGCGTCGGACTTGTGACGAGAGCCCCCTCGTCAAACTTGAGGAGGGGTTTCGTTTCAGACTTTGCGCAGCTGATCTGTCTGGGCCGGGGGGGGAGGGCGGGTAGGGCGGGGGTGTTGAGCACCCGGAACATGTCAGCAGCCAGAAACGCTGTACTCGTAGTTTGCAGCACGCGGAGATTGTCAGCAAATTGCAGCATCACGTGCCTATGAAGATCCCCAAGCATTGTATTCTATCACCTTTCGAGCCTGTGAACAGCCAGAAATCCTGTATTTCATAGAATGAAAGCCAGGAACTGGCCGCCAACGTTAGGAATAAAAGGCTGATGATGCACGCTGGTGTCCCACAAGGCACTTTTTTGTTCTTGCCAAATTGCTTGGGGTTCAAGTCGACATTGCCGCTCGAAAAAGATCAAGTTCACCAGGGTTCTCGCTCTTGGTCTCGGGAAGTCAAATCTGCACTACACTACACAACCAACTATTTCCAGTATCACCGTGATACAAATGTTTTGCGATTGCGGGTTGGCGGCTGGGTTCTGCTTGAGGTCGGCACAGCCTTTTTGGGGGGAAAAGGTTGTGGATGCAGGTGTCCCATGTTGGCTTTTTCTCTTAGTGCAAAGGATGCAGAGGATGGTACTGCTGGACAGTGGCTCTTTAGCAGGGGGCTTTTCTTACAGCAAAGACGGATGCGGCAGGAAGCCGGGCTTTCGGACCCTACGCGCCCAACGCAAGAAAGAAGAAGAAAGAGAGAAATGAAGAGAGAAAAGAGAGCGACAGCGCCGAGGGGGAGAAAAAAGGAAGCGGGCGTAAAACCAGCACCCATTCACGGGCAC